TTATCTATCAGAAAAAGAATAAGTACAAATTCAGCAGATGACAAGATTGTCGATGAGCATATCAATTCCTATAATAAAGCTCTAACAGAGAGTGGCTACAAAAACCCAAAACTAACTTATATTAAAAATGAAAATGGAAACCATAGAAAAAAAATATATATATATATATATATATATATATATATATATATATATATATATATATATACCCTAAATGTAATCACAACCCCATCTATAATTAAACATATACCGTTATCTATCAGTAAACGAATTAGTACAAATTCAGCAAATGACAAGATTTTCGATGAGCATATCAATTCCTATAATAAGGCTCTAAAAGAGAGTGGCTACAAAAACCCAAAACTAACTTATATAAAAAATGAAAATGGAAAGCATAGAAAAAACAGATGTAGAAAAATAATTTGGTATACCCCCTCATACCAAATGGTAAAGAACAAATTAGGACAAAAATTCCTCGCATTAATAGTCACGCATTTTCCTAGTGAAAGTAAACTAAGTACTATTTTAAATAAAAACACACTAAAATTGAGTTACAGCTGTACGGAAAACTAAAAAATTATTAAGAAACATAATGCTAATATCTTAAATAAACATTTATACCAAAACCAAAAAAATTTAGACAATGGAAAAATAAAAATAAAAACTGATGAGGATAAACAAAAATTATGTAACTGTAGAAACCCTCATAATTGCCCTCTACAAAATAAATGCCGCATAGAATCATTAGTATACCAATGCAATATCTCTTCGATTGAAAATCCTGAAAACATAAAAAAATATATAGCCATGAGTTCAAAAAAAGATTCAACCAACATCAAAGTTCTTTTAGAATAAATAAATATAAAAATCAAACATCCCTCTCGAAGTACTTCTGGTACCTTAAAGAATCAAATAAAACACCTACAGTAAAATGGAAGTTAATAAGAAAAGCTAGAATATGTAGGTCATTAAATGACCCATGTCCTTTTGCATACATGAGAAACTATATATTACTAAGTTTATAAAAATAAAATTTACTGAATCAGAGAAATGAAATAGCTATTTTATGCCGTCATTGCCAAAAAATTTTCCTTAAATAATATTTAAAAATAAAAATAAATTTAAAAAGTGCGACCAGGTAATATACATACTGATATTTAATGTGAAAAAATAATTTTATATACTGTAAGTAATCGTATTTTATTTACTTGTTTAAAAAATATATATATAAATAGTCTATTAAAATAACAGTGAAAATATTTTAAAGTTGTATTTAAAAGTGTAGTTAAATAAAACGAATTCTAACCTAAACATCTTTTAAAATTGCAGTTAAATAAAACGTATTCTAACCTAAGCACCTCTCTCAAATTACTACAAGCACTTACAAGAATCCAATAAAACACCTACAGTAAAATGAAATTAATATGAAAAGCTAGAAGATGTAAGCAATTGAATGACCCATGTCCTTACATGAGAAACTATATATTACTGGGTTTATAAAAAATAAAAGTTTACTAAATCAGAGAAATTAATTAGGTATTTTTGCCGTCATTGTCATAAATTTTACGTAAATAATATTTAAATATAAATTAAAAAAAAAATTGTGGCCTAGTAATATACATACTTATTCTTGATGTGAAATAATTTTACATACTGTAAGTGATTCTAATACATTTACTTATTTTAAAAAGAAATATAGTATATTAAAAATTAAAAGTGAAAATATTTTTCAAATCGTAGTTAAATAAAACGTATTCTAACCTACCCCCCCCCGCCCAAAATCTTTAAGTATATACAAATAGAAAAATGGCGTAAGAATTTTTGCCGTTAACAATAAATTTTTAAAAAATTCCAGACGACATGCATGTAAAGGATGTCAGAATTCGTTGAAAAATACATCCCTACCCCTACCAAAACGTAACGAATAACTGATACTACAAAATACAGCGATAATGAACGCGCAAACACCCCTTGTCTGGATGAATGGATTTCTCTGTATCCTTGGAAACGTGAATTATGATTTTTTGCTTTGCCTTTAAAACCCAGTAATAAATAAGTTACTCCAAAATTCGCTTGAGGATGAAATGGAACTATTGTCTTTAATTCAATTACAAAATTAAATTCGAAGCTTTTAGCTTCCATTTTTGAAACATGGTTAGAACTGTGTAGCGAAAAAAATATTCTAAATCAATTAATTTATAATACATATATATATATATATATATATATATATATATATATATATTATAAATTAATATATATATATATATATATATATATATATATATATATATTGCCTAGGTTCTTATTTATTTCCTTTTTTGCATGACAGGAAATAAAGTACAAGCAAGAGAAATTCATGTTACTACATCAACAGACTTTTAATTAAATTCTCTTACTACATCAACAGACTTTTATTCGAACTGTTGTTCATACTCACTACTTGATATATATATATTTTGTTATTAGTTATACTGTTGTGAGTGCGAAATAATAATAACTCCCTTCACCTATTCCCTTCAAATTCAAATTCGAAAGACTGATGATGAAGAAAAAAGAAAGGAATTCACGAGCCTATGTGAAACTTCTTTTAGACCAATGATAACCTTGCCTTCACAGAAATTAGCCGCTCAGCCGAAAAGGAAATATATAACGTGAGCCTAGAGAAATTCCCTTTGATATAAAATAATGGGAAAAATTAAATTAATCAAAGATGAGTGTCTGAAGTCATGTGATAGTTACTCAAAACCAGCGTTTAATTACTCACTAATGTAAAAATTACGCACCAATTATACTATCGGCATCTAACCAGCACGCAACACTTCAAAGAATTTTCTTTCAACAATTCAAGAAAGCTAAATATTTCAAATTATGCAAACTATATATCACTTCGGTGAGAAATATACTCTCTTACCTTTGTCTTATCATTTTTTTATATTATTTTGTGTCAGATCATTTAATCTGTTGTATGAATATTTCCTCTTCATGACAATACGTTAAAAATGCGGACTGAGAATTCTGATTCATTTTCCTGAACGAACTACCGACACTACTTCAAGCGTGTAAATTCGCGAATAACCCCCTTATCTTGTTTTGTTAAAATTACCCATGTGTTTCCTCGTCATTATCATCCTTATTAATGTTCATTTTAACCCTTAAACCCCACGCTAATCTGGTAACCCGTGACATGCGCGGAAACATACCTATTTTTACTGCATTCATCACAACTGAACTTGTCTGACAACAAACAGGGGATGAATCAAACATCCCTGGAGGTCGACCAATCGATACAAACAGTATCCATTAAACCACCACAAATGTAATTGCATAGTTCTCAATTATGGAGGCATAGTTCAACCTTATGAGGATAAGGACACTCATCCAGCAGTTTTATCACGTGTTGGTTGCATTACCATCAGAGATAGTGCACAAGCTATAACCTACCATTTTACAGTCAGGAGATTATAGCTAACTTAAAGAAACAGAGCTGCTTCACAAATTAATGTCTTCTTCCACTCTCATAGGCAGACCATCCGTTTATCTAAATGAACTGATGGCGTCAGCAACAAAAATTGGAGTGAAGATCGACATCACATGACACAAGTTCAAGCAATGCCAATTAACATTAAGTCCAGTTTTAGCAGTATAAACGGATTTAGAAACGGAAAGACTTGGGAAGATGGCTGACGACCTATTATTATAGTTTAATAAACAGGGCATAATCTCATTCAGCAGGCTCAACCAAAGAAAAAAGCCTGTCGTGGTAGGAATTACAAATTCCAATCTACTGTAAACCCGTATCACCACGACCAGAAATCAAAAATATGCAGGGCGCACATGTATTATGCACATCGTCCCAGATCTGGTAAACCATTGTGTATGTGGTCGAATAAAGGGAATATTAAGCTAGAACCCCATGACCATTTTCACCAACACGTGACAAGAAAGGGGAAAATTTGTGTAACGGGAGGTGATGGCCTCCAACTTCCCATCACTTTTGGAAGTAAGTACATGTAATATCCCAGCAACAGAAGGGAGATAACCCCTAGAGACACAAGAGTGAGTTCCCCTCCGGACATCCGGTTAATCTTAATCAGCAGCTTCGCAGCAAAGGGGATAGCAGCGCTACCATCACCCGAGAGACAATCAACAACCATCCTAACATCCTATCAACGCATTAATCGATGCCTAGCAAGTATCGATAGCCCCTTGCGCAGGATATTACATTGGCGACGAGGACTAAGTCGTTACCCTCACAAAAAAAACAAAACACAAACAGAACATCAACACACTTAAAAAAAAGAAAAAAAAATTCAACACGTGTTCGAAAATAACCAATATGGCCGCCGTACCACACTACCCCGAATTTGATTGTGAGTCAACATCCAAAGCAGCAAGATGGACATAATACGTAAACAGACTGAAAAACTATTTTGTCGCACACAACATTGAGGATGACAAACGGCAAAAAGCAATCTTACTAACGTTTGTCGGCGAGGTTACGAATGACATCATCGACGAAATACCACAGGAGCGAGTCATACCGGAAAAAAATGAGACACATTTCGACAAGCTTGTCTCAGCGGTGCACAACCACTTCAACCCTGAAAACGACACGGAATACAACCGATTCGTGTTCCGAAAAATTAAACAAAATAGCCCAGGCATCGAAGACTTCTACCGCAAACTAAAGGAAGCTGTGGCTATGTGCCGTTTTTCCGACATGGATTCCGAGGTGAAGTCCCAACTAATTACAGGCTGCCCGTCGGAAAAAGTCCGCCAGAAGGGACTCATGAACTCAGATATGTCACTACATGACTTAATAAACTACACAAGGACAACGGAGACGATAGCGTCGCACCTACAAACAATGCGACTGGAAGACAACAACACCGCTACTGCTACAACCGCCCCAATAAAAAAAGTTGCGGACGAACAGTGCTGACCAAGCAACTATCCCCGGCGATACCAGTGCAGGAATTGCAACGGAAAATACCCTCATGAGCGGGGACCGACGTCTTGCCCTGCACTTCATACCCAGTGCACATACTGCGGAAAGTGGGGACACTTCACATCCGTCTGTGAACCGCATTGAAAACGACCAACGGAACCCACGTAGCAGCGGTAGTGATACAGAATACGTGTTCCACACAGGTAAGACGAAAAACCTTCCTTGCTATAGCCGCCAGACGTTCAACGCACTAGCCGACTCAGGCGCCACCATTAACATCCTGTCTGAGGCAGACTTCAAACATTTGAGGCCAGCACCCCACCTCAGACCCACAAAACGGTAATATCTGGGTTTGGTGTAAAGGAAACCACCCAAGTTCTAGGCCGATTCAACATACGTCTAGAATTCATGGGCACCGCTTGCCAGGCCGACATACATGTAATAACGAGCCCAGAAAAGCCCATCATCGGCTGGGAGACATGCAAAAGGCTAGGACTGCTATCCGCACACAAACTCTCAATAAACCATATCAGTGACTCTGACACACAAATCCCTCCCTCCACCCTTAAACTTCTGGACGACCATGCATCAGAAGTCCGAAGCTTGTTGGGGATGACTAACTTCTGTGGTGCACAATTCATTCCAAACTACGCGACCCTGACTCACGACCTATGTCAACTAACGAAAAAAAACACTCAGTGGTCCTGGACTGAATGCCACAGTGAATGCTTAAAAACAATCAAGGATGCCCTGAGCAAAGCATGCTCACTCGCCTACTTTGACCCGAACAAACACACTGAGATACACATCTCTGCCGTGCTGTCACAAAGTGGACAGGTAGTACAATTTGCAAGCCGAGCATTATCTGCAGTTGAACAAAGATACTCCCAAACAGAACGCGAAGCCCTCGCTATCACATGGGCATGTGAACATTTTCATATATACATTTTCAGAGCACCATTTACTGTGCATACAGATCATAAACCTTTGACATCAATTTTTAACAACACCCGCTCTCAACTATCGGCACGCATTGAACGCTGGGTCTTGAGAACACAACCGTACAACAAGACCGTCATATACCGACCAGGTCATGACAACCCAGCTGACTACCTCAGCCGTCACCCTATACACTTGCCACCGAGCGACAGAGAACAAAAAGTAGCAGAAGAATATATGAACTACATCCTCTCAACATCAACCCCCAAAGCAATGACGATTAAAGAAGTTGCAATGGAAACCGCAAAGGACAAGACACTCACAGCCATCATACAAGCCCTCCTCACCAACAAGTGGTACGGTATTGACGATGACGTAGATAAAGCAACATTCCAAACTCTGCATGCCAACCGTGCCGAACTCTCACTAGCACACAACGACAGCATCGTTTTCAAAGGACGCCGGATAGTACTGCCCAAGACACTACAAAGCAGAGCCGCCCAAATCGCACATACCGGACATCAAGGTATCGTGAAATTCACGGCCCTCCTCCGAGAAAAGGTCTGGTTCAAAAACATGCAAGCCCTATTAGAAGAAAACACCAGGAACTGTCACACCTGCCAGATCAACACCGACAAACCTGCAAGAGAACCACTGCAAATGTCCCCACTACCAGCGGCCCCATGGACAGAAGTCAGCGCTGACTTTGGACACCTCCAAAATGGGAAATACCTACTTGTCGTCACAGACAAGTACCCACGCTATGTTGTTGTTGACATCCTAGACTCCATCTCAACGACATCAGTGATACCCCGCCTGGACAAAATATTTGCGGAGTTTGGGGTACCAGTATCCCTCAAAACGGACAATGGCCCACCATACAACAGCAGCGATTTCAAAGACTACGCATCCTTCACCGGATTCAAACACAGGAAGATAACACCCCTGTGGCCCCAGGCCAATGCTGAAACGGAACGCTTTATGCGCACTGTAAAAAAGTCCATCAAGGCTGCCCTAATCAAAGGCCGAAGCTGGAAGCAGGAATTATTCAAATTCCTACTGGACTACCGAACAACGCCACACTGCACCACAGGTGTACCCTCGGCCTCAGTCCTATTTGGCCGAACCATAAAAAAACGCCTGCCACACTTGATCACAACCATAGCTGGAGACCCCAGCATCAGGGAGCGTGACACACAAGCCAAGACAACTATAAAACGATACGCTGACAGGAAAACATACGTGAAACCCAATGATCTCAGAGTGGGTGACACAGTCATTATAAAAAACGACCACACCTCAAAGGCTCTCACACCCTACCAACCTAACCCAATGACTGTGACAAAGAAAAAGGGATCCATGATAACTGCCACACATGAGGGCAACCAAACTACAAGAAATGCCACCTTTTTCAAGAAAATCCCAAAACCACCAACAAGCCCCACACACAACCCACTCGATTACTCTTCATCTGAAGATGAAAACTACACACACACTACAACACCACCAAAATCTAAAGACACCCAGACACAACATACTCCCAACCTCAGGCGCACAGGTCGAGCAAGACGGCCACCCAAAAGATTCAATTGCTAAACCCCTCAAAAAAAAAAAAAAAAAAAAAGAAAGCATTGTAATATCCCAGCAACAGAAGAGAGATAACCCCTAGAGACACAAGAGTTAGGTCCCCTCCGGACATCCGGTTGATCTTAATCAGCAGCTTCGCACCAAAGAGGATAGCAGCGCTACCATCACCCGAGAGACAATCAACAACCATCCTGACATCCTATCAACGCATTAATCGATGCCTAGCAAGTATCCATAGCTCCTTGCGCAGGATATTACAGTACACAATTAGGGGCTCAGGAAATTACACTCGTTGTGGATACAGGGGCTGCTGTATCAATTATTCCAAAGGGGTACTTGACAAACACAGTCCTATATTCTATGAACATCTGATTTCTGCTAACAATGTAAAAATAGTGTTACAGACAGACTGTGCAAATTTTGGAAATAAAAAAAACTTTAGAACTTCACGTGGATATTTATTGTGACTAACACTATGCAATCACTTTTTGGATATGATTTCATAAGTTACTATGGACTAACAGTGGATTATAAAAATAACAAGTTGATCGACACAATTACCAATAGGCAAAGTGATGTCAAGCTATTGTGATGAGACATGAGACTGAAAATGCAAACAGAACCTTACAAAAAATTATGAAAACCTACCCTAATTTGATATCGGGACCGTAATTTAAAAAAATCAAGTGTTTCATAGAATCGAAACAGGGAGTATTTACGAAAGTGCGACAGCTGTAAAAACAGAAGTTTGATATAGCAGGGAAGAATTTAAAAAGCTTCAACAAACTGGCATAATTTTCCCTTCCAGGTTAGAGTGCAGTTCACATGGTATCAAAACTGGGTGGCATGTACAGGCCAGTAGGTGACTACAGACAGCTAAATTAGCATTACGAAGCCGGGCCGCTACTCAATGCCCAATCAACTCACTAGCGATGAAATTACACGGAAAAAATATTTTCAAAAATTGATATGTCCTCGGCATATAACCAGATATCAATTCCTCCTGATGATGTATATAAAATTGTTATCTTGACAGAACAGGGTTTATTTGAATATTGATTTTGGGCTGCGGAACGCCGCAAGTACCTTCCAGAGGGTGATGGATGACATTTCCAGGATTATGAGTATACACTTGTGTACATCAATGATATTCTAATATACTCCGATTTGTGGAATTTGTGTGCGTTTTAGGTGAAGGTGCGCGTTCAATATATAAACAAAGTAGATAGAAGAAGCATACAAAGAAAAATTTGTATTTTTGCTACGGGCGTTTATTTCTTTTATGTTGACTGTATTGAAACAAAGTTAAATGTCTCTTGAGTATGTCCGTTTTCCTTTTTGGTTCAGACATTATTTATAGGAAGTGTGACCTTAAGCCGACCCGGTCCCAGATGTAGCCTTGGTCACGCCGCTGAATACCATCTTGTCACTTCAGCAATTGCAACCTGGTTACTGGCATGAGACAGAACTGTCCAAAGAGATCCTCTCAGTACCGAAGTTGGGTTTACTCGATCACAAGGGGTTAAGTACGTTGTGTATCGCAATTTGCTACTAAAATTAACAAAATTGTGCCGTGGTAAATTTTAATGGATCAGCAGCAGCAGTCATTCTGGCTCGAGCTGAGTTGGGCAGCCGTTGTTCTGTTCTGTTCTCGACTAAACTACATCTCACCCGACAACTATATGGAACGACTGCTATTAGCTGTTTATATAAAATAAAAAGTAACATTTTTCTGGAGAAGGGCAGAGTGCGTTCGGGGTGATTCACACCTGTTGGAAAATATTTTTTTTTACAATATTAGGTTCTTCGTCCTCACTCTCTAACCAATAAGTAGTGGGGATTCCAGTTTTACCCGGCTAAGAAATTTACAGTCAGATCAACTGGCTTTTCCCAACAATTCTCAGCATAGTCTTTCTCTATTTCTTCCCTTTCCTTCCTTCCCGCCCCTGTTTTCTTACGAAGTTAGTGTCAGAAAGCTTTGTTCAACACTGTACACTAACCTTTTAACCTTAATTCTCGATAGGAGCGTATTTGTTACCCAAAGATTTAGATAACTGAACAAACTCCAATGACTAATTGCACGTACACACATGCCGTACCTGTTAACATTCTGTTGAAACTTGACTAATGCATGGAATAATAATGCAACACAAAATGTACTTAGAACAAAATGTATTGAAACAAGAAAGTGTACACAATATTTACATATAGTCTTTTGTATATTCCTGGTAAGACCATTCCTGGAGAATGTGTTGACTGAGTCGCAGTCGGGCAGAGTCTCTGGTTGAATCTCTTGATTCCTCCCTCTCTTCATGGTACCAACCATATTTATATGGTCGGTACTCCACTATGCAAATTAGGTGGATCTTACCACAACAAAACCCTAAATGTCTTTCAAAGGCTATATTAATGGTAAAATAAACAGGGTAGAAATGAATGCTTTAGTTGACACAGGAAGCTCAGAGAGTTTTATTAGAAACTGATATTGCAAAAAGAAACAGATTTAAAATCGTACATTGTAATAGGTAGCTATAGTGAACGCTTCACTATCTTTGCAGGTTAGAGGATACATTTTGGCCGCCCTAGTTTAATCAAACTAATTACACTAGCACCTAATTTTTCATGATGCCAAATCTATGCTGCAATGTCATACTGGGCCATGATTTCCTCAAACAGCATTCTAGTATCAATCTCCCTTTTGAGGACCCTAAACCAGCATTGAACATCTGTGGATTGGGCACTATAAATGTACAATACCCCTATCTTTTTGAAAACTTAACCAAAAACTGTAAACCAGTGGCCACCAAATCTCAAAAATTTTCTCTTGAAGACAAAACATTTATTCAAGCAGAATATTAAGAGAAGGAATCAGCCAAGATAGCAGATCACCATGGAGGGCACAAGTATTAATAATAATAAAAAAGGATGGTCATAGACTAATCCCAAACTATAAATAGGTTAACCTTCCTGAATTCATACCCCGTATTGATGAGATGATAAACAAGATCACCAAATACAGAATATTTAGCACATTAGACCTAAGGAATGCTTACCACCAAGTAGCTATAGACCCTAAAGATAAGCCTTATACAGTTTTTGAAGACTGTGGACAATTTTATCAGTTTTGACATATTCCATTTGGGGTATTTAATGGGGTTGCTAGTTTCCAGCAGATCCTCAATAAAATAAATCTTAAAGAAAAATTACAAGGCACCTTTGCCTACATAGATAACATGACAGTGTACAGCCATGACCGGACCAACAACAAGCGCAATCTAAAGCGGTTTTTGACAGCTGTCAAAAAATATAATCTTACACAACAAAAATATAATCTTACATGATAAGAATTCTTATGGGTCAACAATTATCAAACTAGTTGATATATTGTGGGTAAAGGAATCATGAAGCTGGACGATGAACGAATAATACCACTGCTAAAACTACCTATTCTCAACATCATAACCACTGGATATGTTCACTTATTATTCTCAATGGATACCCTCATTGTCTGAGAAAATACACCTGCTTATGAAAATTACCAAATTTCCTTTACCTTCCTGACTTTCCTCTAGAAGTAGAGACTGACACTTCTGACCACCATTGCATTAAGGCAATCTGGGCACCCTGTAGTGTTCTTCTCCAGAATATTGTTAAAATCTGAGCACAGACATTCAGCTGTCAAAAAGGAGGCTTATGCCATAGTCGAGGTGCTAAAACAAAAATGGCAACATTTCTTAATTAGTCATTGCTTTAACTTAATCACTGACCAAAAGTCAGTCTCTTTTATGTTTAATCCCAAGACATCAAGCAAAATAAAAAATGAAAAGATAGCAAGATATGAGGTAAAGCTTTCCTGTTTTTCGTTTGACTTTTTTTTTATTGGTCATGAAAGGAAAATCCAATGGCAGACATGCTGTCGAGAGTGTGTGAATCATTAAAGAGCTCCAAAGATCTACAAAAAGTTCCTAATGATCCAGGCATCACGAGGATAATGCATGTGGTTCAAAGCCAGAAACGAATAACAAACACTTGAATAAATCCAAGGTTCTACAAACCCAAACTGGAAACCCTAATAAAAGCTACACAGCCATTTGAGAGGCTGAGTGTGAACTTTAAGGGCATTCTTCCATCTAATTCCTGAAACAAATATCTACTAACTGTCGTTGATGAGTACTCGCGATTCCCTTTTTCCTTTCCCTGTCCAGATATAAGTGCAGCAACGGTCATACACTGCTGTCTTTGTTCACTGTTTTCAATATTCGGGACACCATCTTATATTCATACAGATCACAGGACCTCTTTTATGTCTGACCAAGAAAATTCCTAATGGTACAGGGAGTGGCCATAAGCCATATACTACCCCAGACGCAACCCTCAAGGAAATGAACATTATGAGAGATACAATGGCATAATATGGTAGACAGTACAGTTAACACTCAAAAACCAAAATCTTCAAATTAGAAGACGTAATAACCAACAATCTGTACGCTATAAGAACACCATTGTGTACAAGAACTAATGCAACACCACACGAAAGGTTTTTAAAATTTCCAAGGCAAAGGCAAGACAATTGAACATTTCCCTCGGAGATTTGGTCCCTGTCCTGTCAGTGAGTTATCAAACCAGGAGTAGGAGCAGCTCTCCCCTGAAGCAATCTCAATCTCTCTCTCTCCTCTCTCTCTCTCTCTCTCTCTCTCTCTCTCTCTCTCTCTATCTATCTATCTATCTATCTATCTATCTCTCTTTCTTAATTGTAACAATGACACAATGCCATTGGATTCACCTGAAGAACAAGACCCCGATAGTGAAAATTCAGAATAGCTCCCTCAACAGGAGCATACTATCACAGACTCTGGTAATCAGTTTCCAGAATCAGAGTGTCCCACTACAAGAAGGAGACAAAAACAATATGAGATAAAATACTTCTGGCCAACTGTTCCCGTAACACCTGAAAGCCCAGATTAGCTGCCGAGATGATCCCAGATAATTGTCAAGAGACCCAGTCACCTGGATAATTTTGTGTCAGACTAGCAAAAAACAAAGCCAGGGAGAATGTGGTAAAGACAACCTGATTACCTCCCCTGTCTTATGATTTGTATAAATAAGTCATGCTGTCTTAGCCAAAACAGCAAGGCATTCAATAAAGGCACATTAAACCGGACTAGACTCTGAGTTTTCATTACACTTCCAATTTCAACATATATATCTTTTATGAATGAAAACCAGTCTTTGGTATAATTAATTGGGGTTCATTCTGTCCCACAAACTCTTCTGTTCTATGTTATTGTAAAGTTTAACTTCAATAAATTGTGCAGTAAAATAATTCCTGACATGAGAATCACAGTATGAATATAGTGAAATTAGTATACTTTAATAATCTTTGAGGAACATTCTCCAATTGAAATGCTCAAAGTATAACACTGTTGTAGTTATAAGCTATTACTGGATCCCTGGATAATATGTGACAGTAGAATTAGTAAGGTTATGGGGATGATAAAGTGCATCATATACACAATAGGTACATATGTAGATACATATACTTGAAACAGTATAAAAATTCATTTAAAATTTTGCTTTAGAATGTTAACTAATATAGAAATATCAATATGGTATTAAAATATATGCATTCATTTTATTTATCCTAAAGAATCAAATTTCAATCTGGTATCTTTTACTGATATAATTCAAAATAACTGTACATAAATTATTCTACAAGCTATTCAGACTAGTATATTTATCTTTGTTGTTTTTTATCAGAATGTTTCATTAATTGCAATCTCCATCTTTCTGGTGTGCAATTTGACTGGGATATTTATCTCTGTTTTAAATGTTCTACTTCTGGGCTTAAAAGATTTTCCTGCAAAGAGCTACAAGAAATCAAATGGTAATTTTTACACTATTGAGTGAAGATCCCTACATACTAGTGATGAATTTTATACAATGTCTGATTGTGCAATTCTTTATACAGCTTACTTCACTCTGTGGAAACATCCACATTTGGTTTCCTGTCTATTATTGTGACCTCATTCCAAAACAGATTATATACTTACTTTTATTTTCTCCTAACTTAGAAGCCGGCCTTTGGGCATACTTTAGGCTAGCTCCTGCAGAGGGCTTTTGAGCCTTCGGCCTTTTACCTTAAGCGGCCCATGTATGTAAAATTTATTATAATTTAGAAATAATAAAATTATTTTATCTTTATTCAACACCTTAATTCGGCATAATCTTTCTTTGTATATGCAAATGATCTCCATAATTTGTCTACATTTATTCTGCACGCAATTTTTTCTTTTAAATTCACCATTATTTATGATCCCTTCACGTAAAGCCACTCTTAAAATACATTAGGGAACCCAAACTATTGTAGCGGACCCCTCGAGCGCCCACGTATCACAAAAGGGTGATGAGGTCACGAGAGGCCCGCTAGCATTTTCGAAGACGTTAAATCTGACAAGGTGAAACAACATAGACGACAGAACGAGGATATATAGGATATAAGTTAATTTATTTTAGAAATGTAATAAAGAAATAAAGGTGGTCGGAACGGTAGAGATGCAGACGTTCCGGTGCAGGCATTGATGGTCGAGGTTGGTTGCTACAGGTGTCGTTACAGGTGATCGCTGCTGGTCGTTGCAGATGATCGCTGTAGTTGAAGTTGATGTCTGTCGTTGCAGTTAATCGCTGCTGGTCATTGTAGTTTGAGGTTGATGTTGGTCGTTGCCGGGATGATCGCTGCTGGTCATTGTAGTTTGAGGTTGATTGTTGGTCGTTGCCGGGATGCCAACTTGACGTGTTGGGAAGGAAAGAGGAATTGGCGTTGGGATGTTTTTCGGGCATGTCAAAGGCCTAGTGCAGGCGTTGCGTGTCTGCCGGTCGAGTCCGATATTAGTAACCTCCCGTAAAAATTACTAACGTAGTGTACGGGAAAGATTATGGACGAGGTGCAGGCAGCCACTAGAGACAGAATGCCGAGAGTCGAACGTTGGCAAGGAGCCAGAAGTAAGAGGCGAAGGAGAGAGAGAAGGAAAGTTTCCAACTATCGTCAAGTTGACAGACAAAAAGAAATTGGAGCGTAACTTAATACACAGCCCGGTGGTCGACGTCCTGGCCACGGAAGCCAGGAGCCTGCGTACCGACCGTTTCAGTCGCCAACCCTAAATTTAGCGAGAAGTCACTGTCTTGTGGTAAGGGAGACTAGCAAGAGAATTGGTAAGCTAACACAGTAAAGTCTATCTAAAAAATGAGTAGAGCTTAGCTAAGAGAAAACCATAGCCTAAAAATGCCTAGAAGTATATTACGACTAGGTTCGTAATATAACTAAACTGAAAAGGTAACTTGCTAGTCTCTACCTCGGGTAGAGAGCACAACCGAAAGGTCAAGGTCGAAATGACCCGTTTCTTTTCCGATTTAAGGAGCCAAGGAGGAGGTAACTCCGACAATAATCTCCCACCAGATTAAAAGTTGTAAGGAAATGAAAACTTTTAATATGTAAGAAAAAGGTTCGGGAAAGTTTTGAACATTGTCCTTGTGAGCTGAAAAGAAAATCTGTCAAGTGTGGTTGAGATGCGTGATTCGACGAAATGTGCTTGTGTTGTCGTCAGGGTGCAGTGTATTTCTCTAGTGAGTCAGAGTTGTCGCCGTAATGAAAGCGTGGATTTGTTATCAACTGACGTAGTGTTGAATTAGATCGCCAAATGTGTGTTTGAGACGAATCGCCGAAATTTGTTGAAGAGATTGAGAAGATTGGGAAGCTAGCTTAATTCCCAAAATGTGCGTAATTCTGTGAGTCGAATTAGTATAGGCGATGTTGAATTGCAATGTCATAGCGGTTGAAAAATAAAATTTGCTCATTAGTGATTATGTAGTAAATCTTTACAGCAAATTTTATGTGAAAGATGCGTTGAAATGTTTTTCGAAACAGTGAGTCGTCCGAAAGTTTGAAGCATGGGAAGCAAGCGGTGGCGTGAAGATGTCGCCACGTGGTGTAGGAAAAATGTATGCGCGCGCTTTTTGAGTTTCAAGATGGAACAAGATGCAAAATGCTATGACCAGTAGCATATATTGAAAGAAAGCGGAATTTGCAATATTAGTAGCGACGAATAACGTACATGCAAATCCACAATGATGTCGCATCGTATATAATGGAGCAGTGAGTCGCCCAGAGAAAATTGTACATTAATTCCAATGAAACTTGAGTGTTGCTCCCATGTCGAAATCACCAATGTTGTTTGAAAATAAAGGACAGTGGGTCGCCTTTAGTGGTTTGGTTCACACTTTATCTATTTCAGTCCAGAAGAAGAGAGTGTTAGTTCGTAGAAAATGGCGTCGGGAGTCTGCTGGTCGCTAAACCTTAAATATGCCTCGCTTGTATTGTGTCACCATATTGTCTAGCCTAGTCAGATCACGTCGGGGTCACCAATTTGTAGCGTGACCTCATCACCCTTTTGTGATACTGGGGCGCTCGAGGGGTCCGCTAGACTATGTAAAATTTTAAATACATCACAGTACACGTGTTAGAAAAAGAAAAAACAAAGCTATGAGCAACATACTGTGCCCTGTTTAAGTTTCAATTATGGTTTAATTAGATGTTATTAATTGCAATTGTGATGAAATGCGAAATTAAAGAGAAATGTTTAATTAATAATTGTTTTTAAGCCTTTCACTCTGTTCGGTATTTAAATTTAAATGATTTATTTATTCAATTTTTAACTGCATGTAACTACAGTAGTTAATACCTGTACTTCAGGTTGCATATGATTCACCGGGTTCAAAAAACAGATGGATACTTGACATATGGACACTGCACTTTATTTATATAGATAGATGTTCTATGATGTCCTATCTCATGGTTTCATTCCAGATTCTGTCTTTGCAATGATCTCCAAGTCTAATTTTTAGAGAATAACTCATAGAATATTTAGAATGACCAATCTCATAATGTTAGACACTCATCATAAATAGCATTTCTTCTTTTTGTCTGTCTTATAAAAATGAGACAAATTATAATATTTCCTTATTTACATTATTTTTTTTTTAAGCGTTTCACCCCAAGTAAAGCGGGAAGCCACTAGGACGCAAGGGGTTACAGAAAATTTGGAGCAAGATCAGATAGGAGTGATAGAAGAAAGGATGAGGAGAAGGGTGGTGGATAGATCAAGGCAACTGGAGATGTCCATTGACATTACATTTGAATAGCTGGAGATTATAGCTCTCAGGGAAACTGGAACAGGGAAGGGAGTTCCACAGGCGAGAGGTGCGAGACATGAAGCTATTGGAGTAGAAGAGACGACTACATTTAGGAGTTTCGACAGTGAAAGGGTGAGAGCGGGATGCCAGCCTTGTAGGGCGCTTAAACTCATGAAGTCTGGGAACCAGCGAATGCAGCTCCTCGGAGCAATTGCCATGAAAGTATTTGTAAAACAGACAGAGAGAGGTGACGGCGCGTCTGTGAGAAAGTGACTGTAGACGAGATGCCAGATCAGGGTCAATTATATTGCATATCTTCCTCTGGAGCCTATCAAGAACCCCGAGGCAAACAGAAAGGGCTCCAGACCATATATAGCAGCAATACTCCATGCAAGAGCAAATTGTTGATTTGTAGATCTGGAGGATCAATTCCGGGGAGAAAAATTTCCTGGCGCGGCACAGGGGGCCAACTTTTCTTGTGGTGGACGAAGCAATTGACTCAATGTATTTGTTCCATCTCAGGTCAGTCGTCAACGTGAGACCGAGCAGCCGCAGAGAGTTGCTC